ATGTATGTATATGACCACAATTTGGACTGGAATTAATGTTGCTAAGCAAGACAGCCATTTGTCTGAAATGGTATAGGGTTTCCTGCCTGAGCAGGGGGTTGGACTAGATGACCTCCAAGGTCCCTTCCAACTTTATTATTATTATTATTATTATTATTATTATTATTATTATTATTATTATTATTATTATTATTATTATGGATCATCGCACAGTCAGCCAGATGTTCAGACTGGATTTGGCATTTTTGTCTACCTATCGAGTCCTTACCAAGGACCTGGGATAGGCAGATGTGGATGTTTGATGGTATTACAGATATCATTATTACTACTACTACTACTACTACTACTACTACTACTACTACTACTACAGTTTGTTAAGTGAGTCAACCCGAATTTACGACTGTAAAATAGGGTGTGACTCATTTAACAACCCCCTAGCTTAGCCGTGGAAGTTCAGCTCTCCATTGCGGTCATTAAGTGGAGGACAACCTATATCCAGCTACAGCTTCAGAGTTTCTCCCAGGTCTCTAAACACCCAGTTGCTGAATCCTAAGGGTAGAGTCCGCAAATATACAGGTAGTCCTCGACTTAGGACCACAACTAAAATTTATGTTGCTAAGCGAAACATTTGTGAGGTGAGTTTTGCCCCGTTTTATGGCCTTTCTTGCCACCGTTGTTAAACAGTTGCGGTTGTTAAGTTAGTAGACGCGGTTTGTTAAGTGAATCCGGCTGCCTCCATTGATTTTGCGTGACGCTGCGACCGTCATAAATGTGAGTCAGTTGGCAAGCGTCCGAATTTTGATTACGGGGATGCCTGCAACGGTCGTAATGGGAAAAGCCGTTACCAGTCGCTTTTTCAGGGCTGTCGTAAATTTGAATGGTCACTAAATGGACTGTCGTAAGTCGAGGACTATCTGCTCAGCACTCCTGCGTAGGAATAGAAGAATACCACCCGGTGTGTTTCACTTCTGAGCAGACAAAAAAATTCAATGTTACTTGCAACTGGGGTTTTTTTCCTCCCTAACTGGTTTTAAACCAGTATTAGAAACCTCCTGTTCATTTTCACGAGTATTTAATTCAGCCTAAATTCTTCTCAGCATGCTGCCCATAAGTCCAGCACCATCTTCTTCAACATTTGCCAGTTCTTCTGCCCTTTCACCTTTTATTTGTATGGATTCCCATCATTTAAACCCAAAAAAGGGGAGAATAAGTGGGGAGGAGGACTCCAGCATGCTGAGAGGCCGAGGGTCAGCCCCTAACATTGTATTTTTCCCCAGGAATGCTTTTGGCTCCCAAAACATGCTTAGGAAATGAATAAAAATAAAAAAAAGATGGGATATAAATAAGTAAACAAAATGGGGCGTGTTGAAGATATCTAGAAGGGAGAGTGCCCAGTTGCCAGATCAAAAGGCAAAGCTAAGTAGAGACGGCTAAGCAGTTGATCAGTGGTAAAGGATGACCTTGTGAGACGAACTTTTAATTTTGTTTGTCGCTGCTTTATTGGGGTGTTCTCCCTCCATTTTAAGCCGCCCTCCTCCCCCTTTTATCCTGTCAGACAGACCCGGGCCACAGTCAAGAGAGAATTTAACCTTAAACCCTCCCTGATTTTTTTTAAGTCTGGTTATTTTAATTCTGGAACACGCCGGCCTGTTCTTCCAATTAAAACTCGGTGGCAGATCTTGTCTCTTTTCTAAATTTAAAAGAACTTGGAAATGTATTAATCACGGCTTTGCTTCCTTGGCGGCCCTGTTACCTTCCCCTTCCGTGTTCCTGGACGGTGAGCAAAACCTTCCGAAAGATTACATGACAGCAACATCTAGGCAACCTTCAGAGCACCTTCTGTTGGCGAGAGCAGATGCCTGTGGCTTGCAGGCTCCCCGGAACTGTCGGTTCCCGACACGTCTCCATGACCACCTGTCTTACCTCTCGTTTCTTCAAAGCAGCCAGCCAAACGCCAACGCCGCATCAGCAGGTGTGACCGAGAGGCTGTTTCGTTTTGAAGAGACGCGGAGCCGTTGGTGGTGGTGGTGGGTGGGACCTCTTTCTGCTTGCAGGCCATCGGAATTGGGAAGCCCCCTTTTTTTTTTTGCAGAGGGAGAGGGAGTCTTACACATTGCAGCGGGGGCAGTTGGGCTGGAAACACCTGTAGGGCTCCAGAGGTTGAATCTTTTTCACCCAGCATCTCCCCCTGTCAGTGGTGAGGGCTGATGTTGGGAGTTACAGCTGAGGAAGAAGAGCAGGAGCGACCCGGTTTTCTTGCGTGAGGTGAGGAAGGAGGGAGAGCTCCAGGATCAGGGCAAGCTCGGAATTGCTGGAATTCAAGGAAGTTTTAGGGGCTGGGATGGAGGGAGGGAAGGGTGAGTGGATGGACGGGAGGTTAGGTGAGTGGATG